GACATAACTTTATAAGTACAAGTAAATATATTATTTTAAAATTGAAATTTAGTTAATTTATGATTACACTTTAGGTTTGATATTTATTTAACCTTATTAACCAACTTATAATTATTATTATAAATACACAACAATTTATCACTTTGAACTATTTACAAAATATATTTTGGGTTGTTTAAGTTAAACTAAAACTTATATTTAAGTTGACACTATAATGTTATATTTAAATTAATAATTTAAGTATTCTATAAAAATTGTTCCAAAATTGTATCTTTAATATGATAATGGTTTACATCCAACAATATATTAAATCTAATAAATTAAGTATAGTATGTTAAAAGTTAAAAAAATATAACTTTATAAATAAAAATAAATATATTATTTTAATATTAAAATTTAGTTTATAAATGATTACACTTTAAATTTGATATTTATTTAACCTTATTAAGAAACTTATAATCATTATTAAAAAAATTGAAAAGTCATAGGAGTTTCAAATAAATGTGGTGAAGAGGAAATATGTTAGCTTTATAACATAATAGGCGGATGTCCGCGCGTTGCACGAAAACATTTATATAGTTGAAGTCTTTACAAATGTGTATATATATCTATATATATATATATATATATATATATATATATATATATATATATATATATATATATTTAAATATAGCAATAATGTTGTTATGAAATTTGATATAATAATTTGTATACTAAATTGACATAATATATTGATTATTTGGAATTGTATGATAATATATATATATATATATATATATATATATATATATATATATATATATATATATATATATATATATAATGTATTTACATAATATCAATCGTTTGAATGACTTTTATCCGCGAGTTATACATGAATAAAATTAAATACAATATATAGTTTAATGTTATTTATAGTTTTTATTGTTTATTATTTTTTAAAATTCATTTGATTAATGTTTTAATTTCTATCATTATAATTATTTAAACATCAAACATTATTTTTTTTATTTTAAATGCAACAATATATTCATTTATATAGAGTTATTTTTAAATATATTGTTATTATAAGTTATTTTAAGCTTCTTATTTGAAAATCTTTTAACGGTTATAAAAATATCTTTAGGAAAGAAATATTTTAGTTAAAATGATATTACAATTTAGTTTTTATATTTATCACTACAATTTATCACTTTTAACTATTTACAAAATATTCTTTGATTTTTTAAGTGGAATTGGAATTAGTATTTAAGGTAACATTGTAATGTTATACTTAAATTAATAATTTAAATATTTTGTTCAAACTATTCTAAAGTTGCAGCTTTAAACTGATAATGGTTTACACATAATAACATATTAAATTAATTATAATATGTTAAAAGTTAAAACCATAACTTTATAAGTATAAGTAAATATATTATTTTAAAATTAAAATTTAGTATATTTATGATTACACTTTATGTTTGATATTTATATAAACTTATTAACTAACTTATAATCATTATTAGAAATACAACAGAGTTAATCACTTTAAACTATTTATAAAATATTCTTTGGGTTGTTTTGAGTTAAACTAAAATGTATATTTAAGTTGTCCATGTAATGTTATATTCAAATTAATAATTTAAATATTTTATACAAATTGTTCCAAATTTATATCTTTAAAATGATAATGGTTTACATCAAACAATATACTAAAACTAATAAATTAAGTATAGATTATGTTAAAGTTAAAAAAACATAACTTTATAAGTAGAAGTAAACATATTATTTTATTATTGAATTTTAGTTTGTATTTGATTACACTTTAGATTTGATATTTATTTAACCTTATTAACCAAGTTATAATTATTATTAAAAAGAAATTGAAACGTCATGGGAGTTTCAAATGAATGTGGTGAAAGGAAAAATGCATGGGATTTTCAAATGAATGTGGTGAAAGGAAAAATGTTTTCTTTATAATATATATATATATATATATATATATATATATATATATATATATATATATATATATATATATATATATATATTAGGCGAATACCCGCGTGCTACGCAGAATGCAATAATATATTTGAAATCTTTAAAAATATATGTTTTTTAAAATATATCAGTGATGTTGTTGTTAGCTCTTATATCATAAATTTATTATAAGTTGGTATAAACATTGTTTGTTTTGAACTATATAATAATGTAGATAACTTTTAAAATTCTATAATCTTAATTATCTCAATTGCCTCTACATACATGTTAATCATGAGTAAAAATAAATATCATATATGATTTAATGATATTTATAGTTGTTGTTATAATTAATTAATTTTAAAAAGTTTATTTGCTTAACATTTTAATTTCTATCAATGTAATTATTTAAAATAACAAACATTGTTTTTGTTTTTAAATGTAACAAAATAATTATTTAAAAGTTTATTTGCCCCTCTCACGTACCACGTCTCGTACCGCGGATAACAACGTATACAAAATAAAATTGTCATCGGAATCGTTATCATCGGAAGACGAAAAAATTGGAGGTGAAAAATTATCCATTTTTTGGTTTGATGTGTGTGTTTGTTTTGAAAAAATGTGGGTGTGGTTTAGTGGAAATTGTGAATAAAGTGGATGTATATATAGAGAATTTGAAAAAAAAAAAAAAAAAGTTTTTTTTTTGTTAATGGATATAACGGTTGATTGTAATGTTCGGAAATTTATTGGTCAATCAAATAGCTCATCTTCGTCCGTCTTCTGCCTCACGCCACACGCAGCCCACCGGACTTGGGGGCGGTGTTCATGCGTGGGAGAGGGCGCCACCTCAGCCCAAAACGCGTGAAGAAGCCCCCATACCGAGTAGCCTAATGCTTTTGCAGAATGTGGGAAGTAACTACGTTACCATTCAAACTTACGATGGCCATAATATGGGATTTGGGGAAGAACAAAGCAGGTGATGGTAAACCTGAAAGCTAGACATGTATGGTTTTTTGGTTAATCAATCAATGACATGATTATGTGGCCCAATCATAATGCCTAACCATTTTTCACATGTATCTTATCACTATAAAAGTATATAAGGACTAAAAATAAGAAAACGAAGGGAGTTGACAAACTTCAGAAACTATGATGGTGAGGATATGGTGAAGAATTGCGAGTTATCAAGACAAGGTAGGTCAAGTAAATGCTCAAAATGTAACAACTTTGGGAATAATTCAAGAAATTGTAAGAGAATCTTGGAACATTTGCACGTGGAAGCATAATTGGGCCAGAAAATAAACCTAGTCATTGATAATTGTTGCTTATGTTCTCATATTAAATTTTTTTCTTCTTTGTGTCAATGGCTTTATGCCTAAACAATGTTATTTTTTCTCAATGTTTATGGTTAATGACTTTTGATGTAGCACTCATGAGATGTTATACTTGATGTTATGTTTAGTGTCATTTTGACTTTATAATTTGCTTTTTTTTTTCAATGTTGTTAGTTGTCTAAATATGTTTTGGCCAATTTAGTCTTAGTATGTTTTGTGTCATTTTTGTCTCAATGTTGATATTTATCTCTAAAAAAGTTCTCAGAATAATATTTCATGTTTTATTTTTTTATTGTGGCTTAATAGAAATACTTCTTGTTTTCTATGAGATTTATCGATACAAGTTTTACTATAGAGCCAAAATTACATATGGTACACAATTTGCAAGTGGAACCTTGTACAAATTCAAACGACAAGAGATGATTAAAAAATGCATAACTATATGGACCGTTTTAGTAATTTCTTCTAACTTTTTTCTAAGTTTCCCTACATTATTAGAGTGAATTTCAACACCTTATGAGTGTCCTCTTTGACATCTGATCTCATAGAATTTATTTATTTATTGTGACATTGTTGTTTTATATATCTTAGATACAACCTATCAAGACTTGATAATAAAAACCAATGGTGGCCGTCAGAAGAGGTTGAAATTCACTATAATGATGTAATAAAACATAAAAAAATGAAATTTTATAGATATAATTAAAAATTATATATGGCTTAAAATCAAATCTAAGAGTTCTCAATTATCATTTTTATGACCATAACCCTTAGGCTATCAGGAATGGATAATGATCCACGCGTGATTTGCTGAGCTGGAGGGGCTAAGGATGCGTGCACACCGTCCCCAGCCCCGGTGGTTTGGGTGTGGCGTGGCCCTGAAAACGGAAGAAGACGTGGCTTTTGATTGATCCCTCACATTTCTACTCTTTATCTCTCTCTTCTTTTTGCACCTTCACCACCTAACCACCGGTGAACACCGCCCCCATCCCCGGTGGTTTGGGTGTGAAACTCCATCAATATCTACGTGGCATCACATATATTCCCAAAGCATGCGTAACCATTCCATATAGCCTTATATCAACCACCCTCTTTTGGTCCAAATAACCCTCTTCAACATAAGAGAGTGGCATCTGGCATGTGTAACTTGGTAGTGGTTCATAAAAGTAATTATTTGTTAAAAAAGGGGTAAGAATGGTTGTTAAAATAGATTAAGAGTTTAATATGGATTGATGATTGGTTATGAGGGGCTTCATTAAAAGTTTCCCGATGGATAAAGGAGGGTGTGAAATGCCCTATTTCCTCGCTCTCCGTACATATGGTTAGAACGGCGGCGCCACCACTACCACTACAAAATATGAGTGGTAGAAAAAGTCTCTGAAAATCATACCCTCCTTCCACTTGTCACACACACTCAACTCACACTCCATTCTCTCTCGTTCTCTCTCTCATACCACAAACCATTACTCTAACTAAAAACCAGGACCAACCTTCTTTTCACCATACAACTTTACAACAACTTCAACTACAAGAACATAACTCCACCCTCAATTCTTTTGCTCACTTCGATCCCCTTTTTTTCTCCTTTGTTTATTGTCTCTATGTTTTTCTCTCTCTTCCTTCTCTTCGTTCTTCATGGCAAGTGCTGATGATCAACACACGAATTTCAAGCATTTTTGTCGAATATGTAAGAAGGGTTTCATGTGTGGAAGAGCATTAGGCGGCCATATGAGAGCTCATGGTATTGGGGACGATACGGGGAATCTTGACGATGACGATCCGCCCAGCGATTGGGAAGATAAGCAAGGAAACAAGAGAATGTATGCATTAAGAACAAACCCAAATCGTTTAAAAAGTTGTCGGGTTTGTGAAAATTGCGGGAAAGAATTCTTGTCATGGAAATCGTTTCTTGAGCATCGGAAATGCAGCTCCGATGATGGTGAGTCTCTAGTATCGTCGCCGGAGTCGGAGGCTGACGATGACGATGGATATGATGATCATAACGGTGGCCGGAAAGATTGTGGTGGTGGAGCAAGTGGGTGGTCGAAAAGAAAACGATCTTTAAGGGCTAAAGTTGGCAGCTTTAATTCAATGTGTCCATCTAGCGAAGACGAAGACCTAGCCCTAGCTAAATGTCTGATGGAGTTATCCAATGCTAGGGTCGATCCGGTGGAAACCGACGCGGAAGACTCATGCGCCTCCCCGACTAGGGAGGAGCAACGGCGGAACCCTACGTTTACTACGGCCGCGTTTCTGTCACCTTTTACAAGACCACCACCACCTATAGATAAAGCAAAAGGTGTAGCCACCACCCCTAAAGGCATGTTTGAATGTAAAGCATGTAAAAAAGTGTTTAATTCTCATCAAGCATTGGGTGGTCACAGGGCAAGTCACAAGAAGGTAAAAGGATGTTTTGCAGCAAGAAACGATCAGTTTGATGACACCACTGTTGATGATGACGTCATCACGCACGACCAACTGTTTCCTTCACCAAAGCCAATCTCGAGCTACCAAATCAATCAAGGTCCAAGCGCAGCGACTCCTGTCCCAGCACCGTTGGTCGGAGCCGCAAGAAGGAAATCCAAAGTACACAAATGCTCGATTTGTAATCGGATTTTTGCCTCCGGTCAGGCGCTAGGCGGACACAAGAGGTGTCATTGGCTTACATCTAACATGTCTGATACGACTTCTTTAGCAAAGTTTAACTTCCATGAACATATTGAGCAACTCCATCGAAGAGCATTGGCATTACCTTCACAAATACTTAACAAATCCAAAGCCCTCGATCTCAACCTCCCAGCTCCGGCGGATGACATTGCCGGATTAAGAAGAGATCGGCTGAGATTAGAAGTTTCTACAGAGATCAATCTACATTCATGGAACGTAGATCATGAGAATGTTACAGATGGAGATGGAAAAGATCAAAACAGAACCGGTGATCAACAAGATGATCAAAAAAACACAAGCAACCTTGAAAAAGAAGCAACAACGACAATGGAGGATGATGAAGCCGATAGTAAGGTGAAGTTGGCTAAACTCAGTGAGTTGAAAGACATGAGTAACGTCAGTGGGAGTTCATCTTCATGGTTGCAGGTTGGGATTGGTTCCACAAGTGATGTTGGTCCTACTCATGATCCATAATTTATTTTTCTTTTTTCTTTTTTAACCAAAAACAAGTATATACATAACTCGGAACCTGTAATTATATATCCATTCAACAAGCACATAATTTTTTTGATGAAGATGATACCACTCCATCTGCTGTTGTAACTTTGATTTTGTGGGGCGGTTCTCTTGGTGAAAATCAATGTTTATATGATTTATACTTCTTTTTTTTTTCTTTTTCATTTTTCATATCTCTCTACTTATTTTTTGGTCCAAATAAATATAGAGTTATTGGTTAAATATATTTGAAATGTTCTTAAATAGAAGCAGAAGCAGAAGAATTTTGTAAACTAAAACCGGTTCTATTTGCATATGGCAAAACCACCCAAAGAAAACATCATAGCATATCAAAAACAAATTTATTACATCTTGAAACCAGGGTGTTCATCAATTTGATCGAATGATTTATAAGTTTAGTTTAGTATGTTTGGTTCTAGATGTTTCAAGAGCATCTATAATGCATTGAACTTATTCAGTGGATTGTCACATCATCTTTCTACAATCCATACAACTTTATCATTTTTTCCTATAATTCATTAAACTCTACTGTAACATCCTGAAATTCAGGTACATCCATTTAACCATTCTTCTTTACCAAATTGTCAAGTTTAGCCCTTGAGTGGAAAATGTTGTAAATGAGTATGCTGGGCGTACCGAATTGTACGTTGCGCGTACTCATGCGCTTATTTTGGACGCAGACTCAAGTAGGTACGCTGGGTATACCAAAGTTACGTTGGGCGTAACTGGCTCAAATGCAAAACCCTAAATGAGACTTGAGGACTATAAAATGAATGATAAGGCCCTTACCCCAGCCACCATATTGCAGTGAGTGAAACCCTAAGAGAGCAAAAACTCGTTATAAGCTTGTGTGTATTCTTAAGCTTGAAAGTGCCATTTTGTGTTGGTGAAGGAGAAGAGAAGGCCATTATGGGAGCTAGAAGTTGGAAGATAAGCTTAGATCCAAGTTCTACAGTGGTTAGAGCATCATTTAGAGGTAAAAAGCTCAAAGCTTTCCTTGTCATTGTTGATTTGTGCTTTATGTATCCATTTTTAGGGTTTTTGGTTCCAAGGTGGAGACTTTATGAGCAAAGGGTCTCCATAAGCTTAGATATGCCCTTTTCCAGTGTAATATGTATTGTAGGTACATAAAAATCCAATCTTGGATGTGAATATCAAGTCATGCATGAGTTATAGGCTTAATGAGGAAAGAGGAAATGTGTTTAGAGTGATTGGAGACCTTTACAGCCATGCAAAGGCTTAAAGGTTTCGACTTTATGGATTAAGTGGCCATAGAATAGTCAGATCTGGAATTTGAGTTGATGTCTTAACTGTTTAAGACCAAAAATCAATAAGAGCATGAAACTGAGACTTACGCTGAACGTAAATCTCAGAACGCGTCGCGTAAGGGTTTGAGGCCCCGATTTTGGATCGTCGGTGTACGCACTCCATACAAGAGCTGGTACGTGTCGCATACTGCCATCTGTTGACTTTTGTTGACTTTTAGGGTTTGGTCAACAATTGGACATTTGGACTATTAAAGGGGTAAAATGGTATTTTCCCCCTTCTGAGAGATTATAGAAAGGGTCTAGTCTAGCTTTTGAGAATCGTGGTTAGTTAGAAGTAAAATACTTTATGTGATTCGGCGGAGGCTAGATCAGCATTTCAAGTTCGAGACTTTCCGAGATTTCCCGAGGTGAGCCTTCTCACTATACTTTACCTAGAGTGATAATTAGAGTTATGTGACAGAGTATCTTGTATGCTTTTGTATGATGTGATTTCTATTTGATTTGTGCTATGTATGATTCAGAGTTTACAGAGTTAGGACCGGAAGGTCCACAGAGTTAGGACCAGAGGGTCCACAGAGTTATGAGACTGGAGGGTCCCACTAAGACACATTAACCAAAGGGTCATACAGAGATATAGCCTCAAGTGGCTAATATGTGTTGTATGTGGTATTTTGGAGAACTCACTAAACATTTATCTTAACAGTGTGATGTGTTATCTGTTTCAGGTACTAGCGAGGATCGTGGGAAGGCACCGACATGATCCGTACACACTGTCAGAGGATTGTATTTCTGTTGAACATGAGATTTGAGAATATTAAATGAATTTGATGTTGTTTGAAAAATGAAAAAAATTGTTTTAAATTTTCACGTCATTACATCTATAAAATTCAATAAAATGTTACAAAATATAATTTATAATAAATATTTAAGAATGAAAATTTTTTCTTTTTCCTATTGAAGAGTTCAATGACTATTAAACTCCGAATCCATTGAATGCCAATGTGACATCTTACAATGGTAGAGTTTAATACATTGAATTACACATAAGCTTATCACTTCATTCAACTGTCCAATTGAACTCACCATTGTGGATGCTCTAACATAATGGGTCCTATAATTATTCCATAAAAGATCCTATACTTTGCATTTTTTTTCGAGTTTAGACGATTTTATTTCCAAAATAAATCTATATTTATTGTAGGGATGTAAATGAACTGAACGTTCACCAAATTGATTGTGAACCGTTCGACGGGAAGTTCGTTTATGTTCGTTTATTTAATAAACGAATGAACATGAACACAAATTATCGTTTGTTTGGTTAAGCAAACGAACATGAACGATGGTTTCGTTCGTTCAATTATGTTCGTAAACGTTCGTTTATGTTGTTCGTTATGTTCGTTCATATAAGTTCATTTTATGTTCATATATGGTTAATTGTGTTTGATTACATTAGTATATTATATATTAATTTAGGTTCATATATATATATATATATATATATATATATATATATATATATATTCAATTATGTTTTTTTATTTTTGTTCATTTATGTTCGTTTAGCATGTTCACACACATAAATGAACGAACACGAATAATGTAATTTGTTAAACAAATGATCATGAATAAGAAAACACGTTCAGTTATCCGTTTGTGTTCGTTTATTTGTTAAGCTAACTATAAACGAACGAACATGAACAAGCTCCGTTTGTGTTCGTTTACAACCCTAATTTACTGTATTACTTTTAAATTGATGATGAAATTAGTTACCAAACAGAATAACGACGGAAAGCGTTGCCCTAAATTAGTGACGAGATTATGATGAAATACCTACAAAATATCGATGGAAGCAAAATTCGTCAGAAATCTGCCAATAAATACTGACGGAATAGCTATGGATCTAAGGAAAAAGATTAATTAATTTATTTTCCATCACAGATTCGTCGCTAAACATTAGAACTAGAAAAATGAAGAAAAAAAATTAGGGGTGGGTTCTAACTCACGTCTACCATGTACCATATCAGTCTCTTTACCATTTGGCGGGCATGCCACATCCACTAATAATGGACAGACAAAATTGCAAAAATGGTCCCTGTGGTATGCATTCTTTTTGGGTTTTAGTCAAAACCACGACTTTTTTGGATTATTGGTCCTTTTGAGCTAGTTTACATGCAGTTTTGGTCACTGTCCAAACTAAAATGACTATTATACCCTTAATGAATTTTTGTTTTCATTTTCTTTCACTTTTTAAAATTATTATTATTATTAAATATAAAATTATTATTATTATTAAATAAAAAAAAGGGAAATATGAGACCCACTTCATTGGTCTTCATCGATCTCGAATGGTACGCACTGAGACTGAGGAGACCAAAATTGAAACGAAGGTGGAGATGGTTGTTCTTACAGCAACAGGAGGGCGGCGATAGTCAGAACTTCCACAGTAGCAGTGGGAGGTGGCGATATAGCGATGGCAGCCGGTAGTGATTGCACTCATGGTGACAACAGCAATTGGCGGTAGCTCCGCCGCTTCCTTCCCCTCCTCCGGCTGTGAACTACGAGTAGAGAGAGTGTGGGGTGATGGAAGGGTTGTGGTGGTGCAAGATAGGGAGGAAATGGGTGGAGTGATGGTGTTTCTTGGTGGTATGTAACGGAAGAATAGAGTAAGATGGTGGTTCGACGGAGATGGTTGGCGGCAGCAGCAATGTAGAATGACGGTGGTGGTCAACTCCTCAACAGCAGCGGTGGTGGTGGCAGTACAGCGGTGGTGGCTGTCTCCAACAACAATGGCGACGACAACTTGTGACCTTCGTTTTCTTCGTTTGTCGGCAATGAATGACAAAACTAGAGGGGGAGAGAGGCGGTGAAAGGCAACAGATGGTCGGAGAGGAGTAGTTCCGAAAGCAGCAACAAAGATGGGTAGCGGTGGCTTACGTCGGCGATGGGTGGCAACAACGCTGCCCGGTGTTCTTGATTCGACTAGTTTTTTTCTTCCGTATACATTTGTTGTTGTAGTGGCATCAAGAGGAGGGTAGTGGCGAGTTGCATGTGACAAGAAGGAGGCTGTAGAGGGTGGTGAATGACAGCAGAGGTCGCAAACGGTGGTGGGTTGTTACGGTCGGCAGCTTGCTGGTGTCATTGTCTTCGTCGGTGGAGTACGAATGAGCGAGAGAGGTCACAAAGATGACTGATGAGGTTTCACCCGTGAAGAGATAGAGGGATATATATATATATATATATATATATATATATATATATATATATATATATATATATATATATATATATATATATATATATATATATATATATATATATGGGCCAAATTAATCAATTATTTTCTTTTTCCTTTAAATTAAATAGAATATATATATATATATATATATATATATATATATATGTGTGTGAGAAGGGCATTACAGTTATTTCTGTTTACCTAGGGACAAAAAACACAACAAAACTAACATAAAAGGACCATCAATCAAAAAAAATCGTGGTTTGGACTAAAACCCGAAAATATATATATACCACAGGGTCCATTTTTGCAATTTTTTCTAAGAGATACTTAATATGTTTTATACATTACTTATTTTCTTTCTTTCTTTCTTTTTTTATTATTATTATTATTATTATTATTATTATTATTATTATTATAACTAGAGGGAATTCCCTCGCTTCACTAGGGGAAAG